TAAATCTAGCAGTCAAGTCTCTCTTTTTTCTTTTGCGCTGACTTTTGCCTAGGTTGCTCTTTTGAATTTTCAACCTAGCAGACATCTTTTTCTTTTTTTTAATTTGCATTTAAGATCCTTTTTAGTAACCTTTTTTTGTTTTTATTTCATGAAACCTTTTTTCTTTTTCCTTTTTGGTATTTTTCAAATCCAACAATCGAATCTTTCCCTTTTTTTTTCATCCTTTTTTCTTTTGTTTTCTTTTTTTTTGCATCTTTATTTTTCTTTTTAAAGAGATCCCAACTATCATATTTGGGAGAAGTAAAGTCTAATCAGGAAATCCTTGTGACATAATGTATTCAATCTTTTGATGTCCAAGTGGGGTCTAATTTATAAGTATGATCACATTTTTTATTTTCAAACTTGTTTCCATTTGTACTATTAAAAAGAATATTTTGTCATCTTTCGTAAGGAAAATTATTTTAATTCCACAAAAAACTGCCCCATTGCACTTATTCTTCTTTCATCTAAACCTTTTTTTTTCTCCCAAAATATTGCCCTAATTGCAATCCAATCTTTGTGACCATTCATTACAACGATATTCATATATTAAGATAAAGCTTTCAAATACATGCATTTTTCTCATTTGCTTGAATAATAAGACAGTCAAAGTTACTTGATATGATACTACCATTGTTACATTATTTGGGATAAAAATTATGGATAGTGAACTTAAAACGAAAGATAATGGGTAAAAAAATAAAGTTCAAAATATATGAAAAGGAAACATGTTAGTTCAAATTCCAAAAAAAGGGATACCATAAAGCCTTAAATAAAGCATTAGAATTATTGCAAAATTATTTTGAAGAATTAAAAATCAAAGGAAGATTGATGATTTCTCAATTGTTAAATTTTTATTTGGCAAACAAGCATAAAAAAATGTCTTCCTTGGGACATGAATTCCATCTTAGGGCTCAGTTCAAATTAATGAAGTAAAGCTGAATAGGCATTGGCGAGATATCTAAAAAGAATCAATTTACTCTATTTCTTTAGAGATCGTTGTGGCTTTAAAATCTTGGTCATTTTTACCTTTGGTTGGTTGATATCCATCTTCATTTCTTGGTTATGGTATTCTAACTTATTGATCATGTCCAATTAGGAACGTTTAATGTGAGAATGTAAGATTTGAAATTGATTTATATATATATATATATATATATATATATATATATATACATATTTACAAAAGATAGGAATTGGTGGTGAAAAGACTTATATGTTTATTTTTTATTTAAAGAAGTTCCCTAAATTCTAACACTAGAAGTATGCTTCCTCTTAGGTCAGAAAGTGGTATACTCTCGTTCTAAAGGAGCATTCACTCCTCAGTGGATGAGGTCTATCTACTAGCAATGTGTAAAACATCATATATTTTCAATCAAAAGACTATTGTTCATCAATGGATATTGTTTAAATCAAACTCAATAATGAGTACACATAATCTTGATATTTCTCATTTGCTAGTATAACATTGAACAACTTTAAATATTTTTACTCTAAAAGTAAATTTTTTTTAAAATAATTAGAAATAAGAAAAATGCAACTTAGTATGCTTCTAAAATGTTAATTAAATATACATTATTTTGAAAAATGAACATATGGATAAATGCATGAATTATTTTTAAAAAAGTGAATGCATTAATGACTTTGGAATATGTGAATGAAGGGATCATCATTTTTTTTGTTTTAAAAGTGAATGCATAAATAACTTTTTTTTTGTATATGCGAATGATGGAATCATTTTTTTGTTTTACAAGTGAATGCTTGAATCATTTTTTTGTATATGCGAATGATGGAATTATTTTTTTATATGCAAATGCATGAATCATTTTTAAATGTGAATGCATTTTTTTTGTATATGTGAATGTCTGGATCATTTTTTATGCGAATTCATGAATCATTTTTTTATATGTGAATGCATTAATTATTTTTTTATGTACGAATACATGAATCATTTTTATATGTGAATGAATGAATATATTTTTTTTTGTATATACGAATTCATGAATATTTTATTTTTGTATGAATCAATTCTTTTTGTATATGCGAATGGATAAATATATTTTTTTTTGTATATACGAATTTATGAATATTTTATTTTTGTATGAATCAATTTTTTTGTATATGCGAATGCATGAATAATTTTTTTTTGTACAAAACATGTAGGATGAATAATTATGAATGATTTTAAACAAATGAAGGAACAGAGAAAATATATTTTATTTTTATTTATTTTAATTTTTCTACATTCTTATGATAAAAACTCTAATTTTTAGAGTTCACTATGTCCTTTTGTTGGTGCATGGTTTCATAGATAGATCTACATTTCTATGGTCTTGTATGGCTCCCAGATTGCCCCTAATAAATAATAAGGATCTAGCTCATGACTTAGTCATAAGTAGGGACGTGTCCTCTCAATATGAGTAAGTCAATGTACTAGTAACAATCTGAGTAGTAGCTCAACAACTATCAAGTGAGCATAAAGCCCCTCAATAGTAGTTGTTAAGGCACCTTCTACTCCTAAGCTTGCATAGGCTTGGGTATAAAGCCCAAATATGTGTGAGGTAAGTGTTAGTGATGTGGGTGCATAGAGCATACAAGTTTTTACCCTATTAACTACCCATCTAACACAGACTAACAAATACTGAAAAATGTACAAAAGTCATCTACCCTAAGATTCACAATATAGCAAGAGAAATAATAGTAACAAGATATTTACAAAAATAAACTGAACAATAAATAAAATAAAAGGAATACACAAACAAAATGATGAGTGAAATAAAAAGGATTAAAACTTTTGCACACTTAATTAGATTAGGTTTGACTTTCAAAAATGTTCCCAGTGGAGTCGCCATCTGTCGCAACCGAAGCCACGACGGGACGGCGATGACAAGGAGTCGCCACCAAAGTTTATTAAAGAAAACGTTGGAAAAACTTTTGATAAAAAAAAATCTTCGAAACCATATTTGGACTCGGGAGTCGTTTACGTGTAAGGAAGATATTAGCACCTGACGACATCCGTTGGTTAAAACGGTTACCTTCTAATTAATTGTGCAAAATTTTACTTTAACTTTAAAAACATTTATTTCACTCTAAGAGAAATAATTAATATTTTTTTATTATTTTCAAATTTGTTATTATTATTATTTTTAGATTATTTCTAATTTTTACAAATTTTTTGAGAGATTTTAATTTTATTTTTTTAAAATGAGGAAATACAATAAAAATTATTTGAATTAAAGGAATGAGTTATTTGTAAAAATATTATTCTTTTTTTTTCATTTTTTGTATTAAAGAAATATATAGTAAAAAAAACTTATCTTAACATTTTATTTTTTATTTTTTATCTTCTATTTTTTATTTTTTTAAAATAAAATAAAAATTTATTTTTTTAATTTCTATAAAAAAATGTTCTAGAAATTAATCTTAGTTTCAAACAATTTTAAAAATATTTTTGAACTTGAAAAAATATTTAAAAAATTAGACTTGACAGGTCAGGTTCCTGCTCCTACGTATCCTCCTTGTGTAACGTAGGAATCAAAGCTACACGTAGTTCTTTTTCAAAAATTATATTTTGAATAAGTTTCAAAGATTTTCTTTCTTTCTTTTTTTTGTGAAAAAAACTTAATTTTTCTTTATTATTATCATTTTTAAGTAAATCTACTCCTGCACAAGGTTCAAGTTAGCACACAACTACTCAATAAACCCTTACGATCTAAGCAACGTTGAAGGTGAATCCTCCACTCTATCAAAATTACTTGGCCGTTGCGTAGATTCAAAAGACTCATTTTTTTTAATAATAATGCAAAATTGATATACTTTTTAATATGAGATTTTTGCACGCAGAAAAATGAAAAACGAGAAACATACAAAATAAATAAACAAATAAAAGAGCAAACAAAAATGATGAGAAAATAACTCTTATTCGATTTAGGAATTAAGTTTTTTTTTTAAGGTTAGGATATGCAAAGAAATTAGGGTTTTTAGAATTTATGAAAAGAAAGAATTTTAAAGATTTAGAAAAATTAAATTTTTATAATTTGCAAAATTGTTAGGGTTGAAAAAAATGGTTTGTTTTAGACCTTGCAAAAAATTGAATGATTTTGGGTTAGAAAAACAAATATTCTTTTTAGGGTTTGCAAAAAAAAAAAAAGTTAGAAAAAAAATAGTTTATTTTTAGGGTTTGCAAAAAGGTAATACTTAGATTTAGCGAAAAAAAAAATTAATTTTTATGGATTTGGATTTTTATTTTTTTTAGGGGTTTGACTGAGGGAGAAGTAATTTAGGGTTAGAAAAATTACTAAAATTTATAAAAAGGAAATTTTATTGAATTTTCTCATTTCATATATTTATTTATTTACTACACTTGCAAAAATGTTAGATTATGAAGAAGAAAAGAAGAATGTATAAAATAAATAAACAAAGAAGGAGAATCCTTAATAAATATAGGGAGGATGAGAAATGAACAAAGAAGAAAAATTCTTATTAGAAAAAGAGAGGATGGAAAATGAACAAAGAGAAAATTCTTTATTAGATAGAGGGAGGATGAGAAACAAACCAAAGAATAAAATGTAGAACACTTACTTGATGAAAGTTTTTCTTTTTCCCCTCATGGTTGAATCTCTCCTTCGGTTTGTTCTTTCCAATTGATCTTTAGGACTATGCTTTAACTCTCAGTTGATTTCTTTTTAGCTCTTTCCTCTTTCTCTCTATTTCTCGAGCTCTCTCTCTTGAATCTTCTCTTTCGAGCTTTCTCTTTTAAATTCTCTCTTTTTTTCTCTCTATGCTCTCAAAGTATCTCCGTAAAGAAAATAAAAGATGTCTACCTAAAAGTCCCTTCTCTGAAGACCTAAGCTTCCTATTTATAGGCATTTTCTAAAATTCTAGATCCTAATAAAGGCTCCCTTATTTTCCGATAACCATTAATCAATTTTTTTTTCTTTTTTATCTATTTTCCTAAAAAGTTACCAACTAATTTGATCATTTCTAAATCTGATTTTACATTTAAAAATTAAAAATTTTAATTTTAATTTTAAATTAATTTTTTTATCTATTTTCTTAACCTCTTAAAAAAAATTATTATATTTAATTTTTTTATTTTAAAATTTATTTTTGACAAGGACCAGATAAAATTGGGTATTCACATCGTCCACCAGCACCCCTCCAACATTGCTGAATAACCAGTCATTTCTTTCTTCGTGGCGTATGAAATTATGCAAAACACATGCAGCTATGACTCTATCCCGCTACATAGCTTTAAAAAGCATAACAATTATGCATAAAACAACTCAAACAATAGTTTGAAAGTGCTCAAGGTTTCAATCTCACATCCCCTCTATAAAATCAAGCCCATCCTCCAATTCCTTACAGCTTCTCTTAAGCCTCTCAACACAAGATTTAACCGTCTCTTTTTCCCTTTTACCCTTAATCTGTTCTTTCAATTCCTTACCTGCAATCACTGTTTGATGCAACTCACTCATCATCAAAGACCCACTTCTCCTTTTCTTCTTCTCAGTACTTCCCTCTACTTCCTCTGCTAACTCCTGCAACAGTCTCAACCATGAAGAACTAGCGGAGTGACACTGCTTCATAAAGGGTAACCCACTTTTGGAATCAAATGACAACCCAAGTTCAAGAAATCTACAACACACTAAGGCCACGGCCTTAGACCCACACACAATCTCACCAAACTCAGTACCACGTTCTAGCTTTTGCTTCAACATTCTTCTCAAACCAAAGCCACCTTTCCCTATAACCTTAAATCTCTTCTCTATATCATGACATGACTCCAAATGTTCCAATGCACGTGCTAATGCTTTTGCATTGGTATTAGCCTTGACACACTCACTATTATCAACCAAGTGTGTGACAATTCTCAATGTGTCCACATATTTCTTCATGTGCTCTATTCTTTCCATAAAGTAATTGCATGCATCGACATGATGGATGTGATGCAAATAAGCTTTGATGGGCTAGAGGAAATGGAAAAGGAAATCTTTTTAGACATTGCTTGTTTCTTTAATTGGGAAGTGAAACAGATGTGAAAAAAAATATGTAAAATTGGACAAATCAGAGAACATGATGACACAGAGTCAATACAAAGGGTATTGCCTTTCCCTATCTTTTTCATTTTCTTTCTTTCTCCTGTTTAAGAGATAACAACTCAGGGTACGGAAAATTGAACTGAGCTAGCACACCAGTGAATCAAGAGAACAAAATTCGTCATAACATCTGAATCAGATAAATAAATTTAACCTTTCGTTAACAGTATCAGATGGCATTCTAACTCTTGAAATAAGTAAATTTCTCTGAAGTTTCACGTATTCTTACTGAGCAAAATGAAAATTCACCTGCTCACTCAAAGAAAAGGCACAATTTTAACACAAAAGGTGAATTCGATGGTAGCTAAAGAGCTCATACATTCAGGAGTTAAAGCTCATTAATGGAAAAAGAATATGAATTTAATAAACTTTTTCTCATGTCCACAGTGTTACTCAATATTAAGCCGCAAACATTAACCGATAAATAATCAGCACTAGAACTAACATTAATACCCACGTATTTTCTAGTAACTATTTTGTGGTCATCTACTAAAAAATCTAGAATCACTAATTGAAACCACAAACCTCAATGTTTCCATTGAATATAACACCAATTCTAAACCCAAAACAAAAAAGGATCATAGAATTAACCTATATGCTATTAATATCATTTATCACTCCCAACATTCTCTTTATAAAAGTTTCTCAATTTATATCCCATTGGCAAACTCCTTTGGTTCATTTCCTCCAAAACTAACATTGCATCTTCAACCCTCTTCAAATTCACAAGCTTGCTAGCCAAACACCCAAAAAGCTCAGCATTCAACATCTCATCCTTCTTCTCACCATAACCCCTCACATACCTCACTGCATGTTCATAGCACTTCATCTTCAGCAAAGCCCCAATCACATACATGTGTGTTGAGTACAAAATGGGCACTCCATCATCCACCATCCTCCTCAGCAACACCATAGCCCCCTCCACCTTCCCTACCCTACACGCGCCCATCACCAGCGCGTCGAATGTACGCGCGTCCGCCCCAAAACCCTCCTCCTCCATTCTCCTCAAAACTCCGGCCGCCGCGTCCAAATCCTTGGCGAAGCAATGCGCCATGAGGAACATGTTATGAGCCGTCAAGTCGAGCCGCACGCCGAGCCGATCCATGAAATCAACCACGCGCCGCGCCTGGTCGAAAGAATTTTCTCTGGTGAGGTGGCTGAGGACGGGGTAGAAGGTGATCACCTTGGGGCAGCAGATATCGTCACGCGCAAGAGAGTCAATCACGCGTAGCGCGTCGTCCACGCGGCGGAGCTTGCAGAGGCGCGTGACGAGGGAATTGAGCGCGCTAGAGCGCGTGATTCCGTGGTTGAGTTGAGAAAGGGTTTTGACGAGGTTTTCGATGAGGGAAGGCGAGAAGTTGGTGTTGGTGATGAAGCTGAAGGTTCGTTTGGTGTTAAAGAAGCCGTCTTGAACGCGCTTGTTGAGGACGTCGCGGAGCGCATCGAAGTCGCCGGAGCTGCCGGCGGCGGCGGCGAGCTCGTCGTATTTGGCGGGGGTGAGATCGTCGGGGAAGGATTTAGCCGTTAGGGTTGCGAAACGACGAAGTGTCGAGAGGGAATTAAGGGTTATGTTGTGTTGTTTGGGGAGAAAAGACATCGTTAACGTGTTCGTAATAGAAGTGGCTATGAGTGTGGTGAGGTGAGGTTCTATAACTTGTATTACAACCGTTCATGGAGCAGCAACACAGATAAAATAATAATAATATGTAGTTTTTTTTTTAATTAAAATGAAATATATAGATAAAGTAAAATATATATATTTATTTGATTATTATAATTTTAAATTATTAATTTTTATATAGAAAATTATATATTAATAATTGGATGAAGGTTAAGCAAGGACAAATACATAAAAAAAAAAAAAAACTATTGAGTTTAGAATAAAATGAAAGTTCGTGAAACTGTATCTAGATTTATGTGTATTTTAAAAAAATATTTTAATTCAGTTTTTTTTAAATAATTATTTTCTTAAAAAGGAGTTATTCTTAAACATACATTTAAAATCATGCTTTAAAATAATTACATGCATAGTGTGTGTTTGATATGGTTTTTAATTTTTTTTAGTTATTCAGTACTTTTAATTTATATCTTTGAATTAATACAAATATGATACTAGGATGAATAGGTAAAAAATAATTATTTCATTATATGTATAATGATGAAAAGTAACTTACCATGTGTTAGAAAATATTAAAATTTATTATGAGTATTTTATGTTCATACTATATTAATTTTACATATCACATTTCATTAATGTAATAATTAAAGAAAGAATTAAAATAGAAAAAGAAAAAAGAATTACCATATGATCATCATATATATGTATTGATGTAATATCGAATATGTATTTTTATACCTTATTTGTTTTACGAAATTAAAAAAATATTATATTTGACTTTGCCATAACTTGGGTTTTAAAGACAATTACAGTACAAAAGAATACTAACAAGTGGAACGATGCGTTTGAAGTTGACAAGAGTATGAAATTCTGCTACCCTCTTATCATGCTGTTAGGGTTTTTCAATTGCAGTTTTCTGTTCATTTTTCTTCACTCACTTAGAATTAACGATTACTCCACAGTTTCCTTTCCGTGACTCGTGAAATTGAAAGACTGACCGCATTGTGCGAAACTGTACGATGTTTTTGTTCTTTTTACTTAATTGCATGCACATCCAATGTAAAAGGGGAAAAATCATTCTTTTTTTGTGTTTGGGGTTTTGAGGCTTAATAAATAATTTACAATATCTATTAGGATTCTTACTTTCATTAAGGGGTTTTTGAATTTTTGGGTATAGTTGAGCATTTGATATTTTTATGATCCTGGGGCTGATTATTTATGTGTAGGGAATTTTCATTTAATTGGGGTTTTGAATTTATATGTGCTTTGTTTCTTGGTTGCTATGCTATGTTATGCTGTGCTTTGCAATTTGGATAGTGAATTTGAGACCTGAGTACTGAGTAACATGTAAAATTGCACATTGATGTTGCAGTGCCAATGACTTTTATGGATGAGGATGCTTCTTCGGGCTCTGGAGATGATGTGAACATGTTGGATGGACACAAGCGTCAGGCGGGTGTGCCGTCGAGTTCTTGTGGTGGCCGGAAGAGAGGCCGGAAAGCTACCGGGGCAGCTATAGTGGACGCCATGCTGGAGATAGCAGCTGCTTCAAAGATGAGAGCAAGTGCTATCATGAAGAATGAGGAAAGGTTCTCTATAAGCAAGTGCATCAAAGTGTTGGATGAGATGCAAGGTGTTGATGAACGGATTTACTTTCTTGCTTTGGATTTGTTTGAGGACCACCCCAATGCCCGTGAGGTTTTCATCTCTCTTAAGAGTGAAAAAAGATTGCTATGGTTGCAGGGCAAATGCGGTGTTTCCTCTAGTTAAATTGTTTGAGAAAATTTCCTTTTTTATGTTTTTGGTTGAAAATGGTCCTATAATTTTGTACAGTTAAGTGGAGTGCAAGGGAATGAATGATGTTAGTGCTGTTACTAATTTGATTTTATGCTTAATGCCTATATAGTCTGAGTTTATGAATTTGGAGTTTTGAATGCAGAAACAGTACTTTGTTTTCAAAACTATTGTTTGAATTGTTTTATGCATGATTGTTATGCTTTCTAAAGCTATGAACTCGGTATATCAGAGAGATAGGTTATCTTTTCCGATTCGAACTCTTGAAGTTTATCTTTACAGATACACCAATCAGCATGGATGACATTGATCTAGAATTGGATGAGATGGAATTAGTTGCTGCTGCTGCTGGATACTATTACTATAGCTGTCTAACCAAACAGCCTTCCCGTGGTTTCTCACCCAGGAGATGTGAATTTATGACCGAAGTGCTGAATGGGCACGATGACTTTTGTCGGGAAATGTTGCGGATGGACAAGCATGTATTTCACAAGTTGTGTGACATACTCCGGCAAAGAGCCATGCTACGTGATACTGCTGGTGTAATGATAGAGGAACAGCTAGCGATATTTTTAAACATCACTGGCCACAATGAACGTAATAGAGTGATTCAAGAGCGGTTTCAGCATTCTGGTGAAACCATTAGTCGGCATTTTAATAATGTGTTGAAGGCTATTAAATCTTTGTCACGTGAACTTCTGCAACCACCTCAGCTCACAACGCCTCCAGAAATTCTCAATAGTGCAAGATTTTATCCTTATTTCAAGGTTCATATGATCTTTGAGCCCATTCTCCGATGCTATTCTCTATTCAATTCAAATCTTCTCCTGTGTTTTATACTACCTGGGCTAGCTTAATGACTTTTTCTGACCCCCTCTATAATTTCAGGATTGTATAGGAGTAATTGATGGTATGCATATTCCTGCACATGTTCCAGCCAAAGATCAGTCTCGATTCCGTAATAAGAAAGGTATCCTGTCCCAAAATGTGCTGGCAGCTTGCACATTTGACCTGCAGTTTATATTCATTTATCCTGGTTGGGAAGGCTCTGTCACTGACTCACGTGTATTAAGGGCAGTCCTTGATGACCCGGATCAGAATTTCCCACAAATACCTCAAGGTTTGGTAGTCATTGTATCCGTGATTTTGGGTTCATTATCTATCCATCTTACACATTCAGCAATAACTTAATGTGTTTATTTCCTTTGAATTTATTTCATAGGAAAGTATTTCCTTGTTGACATGGGATACTTAAACACGGAAGGGTTTATTGCTCCTTTTCAAGGGGTTCGATACCAGCATTATGAGTATAGAGGTGCTAATCAATTACCCAGAAATGCCAAGGAGCTGTTCAATCACAGACATTGTTTTCTGAGGAATGCTATCCTGAGGTCATTTAATGTGTTGAAAGCTAGGTTCCCGATCCTTAAACTTGCTCCTCAGTATTCCTTCCAGATTCAGCGGGATATAGTCATAGCTGCATGTGTTTTGCATAATTTCATACGCCACAAAGAAAGAAATGACTGGTTATTCAGCAATGTTGGAGGGGTGCTGGTGGATGAAATGTCGGATCTTGACGAACTTTCTGATGTGCAGTTGCTTTCTTCAATACAAGAACAACTTGCATTCTCATTACGGGATTCAATTGCTGCAGCTATGTGGGATGACTTTTTAAATAAGTGGGATGAGTGGTGATCCTCAGCTGGAGAAATGCCATAGCTTGGTAACTTGATTTGTGGGTCTGTTGCAGAGGGCTATGCAACTTGATCATCCGCATGGAACTGATGATCACTTTAATATGTTGTCAAATGCTCAATATTTTTGAGAGTAGCTTGAAATTTTGTATAGGCCCTGTATATCTTTGTTAAATAATAGTTTTACAACAATGTGGGAGCTAGCCACTCTCAACATATGCTTCTCTTTTAATTGGCTGTCTCTAGACATTCCTCGTAACCAGCAAGTTAAAATTCATGGTATGATTGAACAAGAAACTACAATTTCGTTTGAAGAACGTTGACCACACAAAACATTTGGTATCTACCAGTTCCCAAGATTTAGGGGTGGGTAGCTTTTGATGAACCAACTTAACCTCTGCAAACATTGCAGTAACGTGGCTTTTAATAGCTCATGCAGATAAATTTTTCTTAAGGGAAATCAAATGTGAAGCCTACAAGATACAAGATTACTCATTTTGGTCAAGAACTTCCATGTAGGAAAATACCTGCAGGAGCGTGTTTCCAGATACAAACTTCTCCCTTCTTTAAACGAGCAGATGTTTAGAGTGGCTTCTTTAGACCCTTGTCAGCAAAATCAAAATAAGCTGCAAACTGGAACTGTTACACTCATGTATAGATGAGGAAGAATAAGAAATATTAGGACTTATTTTGAGAAAATGTTTTTTATTGAGAAGAAGATAACCAATTTCAAAACACAACCTTATAAATAAGTTGAAGGACACAGCAATTTTTTCCTTACCAAGAAGAAAATCAAACACCCAAAGTAATGCCATAATAGCAGACGAAAAGATAAAACAAATGCAGTGCTTGGAAGTTAGAAGCTACAAAAAAAAATCGAATATTGAGAAACGCCATTATTCTAGTTACTAAATTAATGAAATTTTTGAATCTTGACTATCCAACTCAGAGTCTGTGACAGAGAAAACATCAAAGGAAAAGCTTAACACCTTGTTTGTTTGCCGCTTAGAGATAAATTCTAACACTTCTAAATGTGAAATACACTTTTAATAAAAATACATTATTTAAATTCCATAACTTCAAAACAAACGAGCACCAAGTAAACAAAAAAGCGAAGTAAGCGAACCATGCCTATATGGATTTCGTTGGCGTAACACTAACACTAACACGCTCTTTAATATACAGAGAAAATCATCAAAGCTTATTTGCATCACATGCATGATATCTTTTCTTGGATTTTCTCTCATTCTAGCCAATGCACTCAGGAAGAATATTGCACCAGTGAAACTTCAACACCATGAAACATTCTAGCCATGAGCATCAAATTTGAAGGACCATGTTTATGCCTCATTGTATCCTCTGAAGAACCTTCTCAACTGCTGCACTGGACATTATGTACGCACAGGACAGAAATACCTCAATCTCTAATTGAAATCATCAGTAAAAATTGATAACAAACTCGTGTTCAACCACTAGGTTGCTATACATAAATGACGTGAATGATTTGTAAACAGGATTGTACATGATTTTTAAAAAATGATAAAACAAAATGATTATGCCTTTAGGTCTATATCAGATTTCAATCATTGATTTTTAGAACTAGTTTTAATATCCATAATATGTTATTTATATAAGAGCGGAATTGACAGAACAAGTCAGTGTCAGAAAGTGCTCTAGGTTTCAACCTCACATTGCATTAATAAGATTTAATTTTGATTTTAAGATTTTATTTATATTTGATTCAAAATATGCATACGTAAAGAATGAGAAAGTATTGCCTTACTTTCCTTCACTTATTGTAAATTCAGTAATAGATGAGAGTTCTTGCTTAGTAAGGGTTGGAAACTATAGACTAGCCAACAAAAATTATTTGGCTCAAACTTTTAAACTGGCAAAATAATATATGCATGGCATCAGCAACCATCGTGTCCAAAATTAACACACAACACGAAACCAAAGAAAGTAAGAATGATTCAAAAATTACAAACTAGAAACTATTAACAGCCATAAAATAATGGGAAAGAGGTTAATTTTTGTTGTCAATAATATATCTCAGATCAATTCTATACATCCATAACTGCCAGCAAATTGGCATCATATCTACACTGAATTTCCTAATCAAACTTTCTATAGCTACTCTAATCTGATCTCAAATTTCTAAGCCTGTGATAGAATTCCCAGCAAAGCCATTCTAACATCAATCAAACTTTTATACAAATCTTTCACTTTCCCCTCTATAGAATCAAGCCCATCCTCCAATTCCTTACAGCTTCTCTTAAGCCTCTCAACACAAGATTTGACCGTCTCTTTTTCCCTTTTACCTTTAATCTGTTCTTTCAATTCCTTACCTGCAATCACTGTTTGATGCAAGTCACTCATCATCAAAGACCCACTTCTCCTTTTCTTCTTCTCAGCACTTCCCTCTACTTCCTCTGCCAACTCCTGCAACAGTCTCAACCATGAAGAACTCTTGGAGTGACACTGCTTCATAAAGGGTAACCCACTTTTGGAATCAAATGACAACCCAAGTTCAAGAAACCTGCAACACACTAAGGCCATGGCCTTAGACCCACACACAATCTCACTAAACTCAGTACCACGTTCTAGCTTTTGCTTCAACATTCTTCTCAAACCAAAGCCACCTTTCCCCATAACCTTAAATCTCTTTTCTATATCATGACATGACTCCAAATGTTCCAATGCACGTGCTAATGCTTTTGCATTGGTATAAGCCTTGACACTCTCACTATTATCAACAAAGTGTGTGACGAGTCTCAATGTGTCCACATATTTCTTCATGTGCTCTATTCTTTCCATAAAGTAATTGCATGCATCGAGAATATCAATGTTATTTTCTAAATACTCTTCCATAGCTCCATGATCCACATTATCTATGTAAGAAATTTTCACTAGTGAATTCAAGGCAATTTTTTGGGTTGTGATGGCAGCATCAAGTAATTGAGGCAATCCATGTTCACCACAATTGCCTTGTGATTGGAGGGTGTTGAGCTCCGCTAAGTTCGCGGTCGAAATGGGTTGTCGCCGGCAACGGGGCAACCGCGGCCGATGCCGGCCTTGGTTGAATCTGCCGCAAGGAGAGGTTCCTGAGGATGGCTGATGGTGCTCTCATGGTGTTGAAGGCTGTAACAAAATTTGGGATACATTACATGACCAAATTGAGGTGCAACTTTGGTCTATAAATATAAACTAAGAAGCCACAGTGAGAGGGACACGTGTAAAAATTGCATTTAACCAAAAAACAATGTAAATTGTATATCATATGATCAATAATGTGATGGGTGTCCTCGAAAATAGAGTCATGATTGCACCCACATAATTCCACAAGAAACAGAACACAGAGTTATGACATTATGTAAGAATATTTTTCATATGCAAATTTTACAAGATGAAGATATTCTAAGTTTAACTTTTATTTTTATTTCTAATAGATATTAAATGGATAAGATTTTACAAAAAAATAATAAAAAGATAAATATTAATTTACATATAACATCATAGTATAGTATGAGAGAATTTGTTCTTAAACTATTGTGATTATCCTTCGCATTATTTACATTTTAGGCAAAAATAAGTGTATGCTATAATTTTAATCTACAAAGCCTTACTACACCAATTTTGTTAAAAATAGAATGGATAATGAAATATTGAATTTACATTATTTTGACTTTAGATTCAACAATCCAATGGCATATTGTAGCTCAATTTTATGAAAGTAATTATTTGCGAAAATTCTCTTAAATGAGTATAACAAATGTTTAAAAAAAATATAATTCAAAGCTACATCAAACTTACACATTAAATTATCTCTCTCCCTAACAATAATGTTTAACAATATAGTAAATCAAAATGTTACATACACTGAGTGTATTTTATGACTTGTTTATATTATACAAAATTATATCATATATGTAAAAATTAAAATATCTTAAATCTTGCATATTTATTAAATAATAATAATTTTTTTAATAATTTTTAATGTATCTTAAAAGTACTGGTTAACCTTTGTCAGACATTTAAATTTATTTCATAATTGAGTTCATTCTAAGATTGAGAGGGGGCCATACTGTATTTTATTGGGGTTTTCAATTATGGGTGAAGATGGATTGGGTTGATTTGAATAGACTGAGCTGTGCGTGGCAAAGCATGATACTGCCACTTGTTAACTTAGGGACACACTTAGATTCAACCCAAGGAACTGCTTCCAACTATTGGGGCATCGTTTTGCATTATTGATACACAAAACGGCTGCCGTCTAGACGCAGGTTCATGACTCAATGTCGCCACTCAACCTTGTTCTTCGAAAATATTTAGAAATTAATAAAAATAACTCTTTGTTTGTGTATACACTTTTATTTTAGTTTAAAATTTATAAAGTAAGAATTTTGGTTTTAGATGTCCTTCAGCATCTGCATATGTAGTTACAATATTCGTGTATTCAATATTTAAATGTAGAGATAGTAATAACGGATCTTATAATTAATGGGTATACATATAAGAAAAACATGTATTCCCATTAAATATGAATAAATATAGGTATGAAATTATTTTTTCTTTCAGATTAGTAACTTCATTTTCGAAACTGTTAAGAATTTTTATCTTGATTACTAGTATATCTTTGAGTTAACTCATTAGACTAGAGGAATACAGTGAATCAAACAGAATCTGCACATAACAAACATCTGACATATGAATATTAAATACCTATAATGTTCCATTTTGGAGGATTTGGTTTGAGACAACATGCATGGAACCAATCTTTGAGAAAGCAATTTGCATGATTATATTTCAATATCATATTAAAAGGTTGCCGATTGCTGTGAGGATGCCCTTCAATAAGGCTGCTTTGGAAATGAAAACAATTGGATTCATCTTCATAAAAAAGATTCACTGCTAACAACAAAGAGCAACTTCTCTCACAAATGCTGTCACCATTGTAACTGCTAACCCTCCACATGGCATGCACAACGAATCCAACATTTGCTTACATTGTCCTTCTGTTGGCCACGTTTAAGATCCAACATATTTTAAGATTAAAATTAACTATGCCTTTTCTTTGCTTTTTTTCTTCGGAGTTTTATATATTGCATGTTATGCATAGCCAGGCTGGCTCTGATTTTCAGACTTCCAAGTTCA